AGTCATTTGTGCAGTGGAAGACACCGGAGCATATCTTTAAGTGGTGGGAAGAGGCTGTGGAAGAGGAGATTGGTAAATTGGGCATGAGGATCCGAGAGCAAAAGGAGGACATGTTTGGGCTGCAAACACTTCCGGTACAGAGCATTGGAGGACTAAGGGAGGAGCTAATAGAGCTTGAGGGCGAAGTTTCCACCCTTTACTTGAGCGAGATGGCTAACCATGCAGAAACACGTGAGGAGCTAAGGGTGATGCACGGTGAAGTATCAACCCTGAAGCAAGAGATGGCTAGCCAAGGTGAAATACGTGAGGAACTAAGGGTCCTGCAGGGTGAACTGTCAACCCTGAAGCAGGAGATGGCTAACCAAGGTGATAACTATCTGCTACTTTGTTTTTTTTTGTGTCATAGCGGCAATCTCATTCATGTTGTCTTAACTGCTTTGACTGGCTACATGTTTAAGCGCCTGTTGACTGCTGTTGGCTGTTGTTGGCTATGTATGTATGTTGTTGGCTACTTGTTTAAGCCCTTATTGACTTCGTTAAGACACTAAACTTATGTCATCTATCTATTTCCTTTGTTATGTTATTGCTTTGTATATATCTTCCGTTTTGCTTTCGTATTTTGGTGTATGACCCTGACAGGTATGGCGTACGCGGCAGCCTAGCACACAAAGGTAATTACACTTGTCTTTTCTTCGTTTAATATTTTGTTCTGGTGGTATTCGGTTACTGATGACTTGGTTTGTTGTGCGAGGTTTCTTTGATGAAAGTAAATGGGATAAGGAACGTAATAGTTGGAGTCTAACGAGAATGCGGTCATGCGTTTAAACAAGGTCAGTTTGTAGTTATTGCTTTTAAACAAGTTAGGTGGTTAGTAATGGTCTTTCTTGTCAATATTGCTGGTTTAGGTTAGGGTAAATAGTTGTTAGGTCGAAAGTTAAAGCCAATCGTGTCAAAGCTCACATCTGTTTAATTCACGAGTTAATGTGTCTGTCTTCATTCATTGCAAAAGTAACAAAACAAAAATAACACTTAACACACGAAAACAAAAACTCTAACCTAAAAATCAAGAATGAGTAATCCTTATATAAATAAAAACTCTAACCTAAACCCTTGTCTCTTACACTATGAAACCCTTATCTTAGCCGTTCATACCCCTTTTCTGTCCCACACCCTTGTCTAAGCCGTTCATACTTTCCAACAAGCTTTCTTCTCTTACCCTCCTATGGATTCACCGAACCCATATGGTAACTCCCACAGTTTTTTAAACCTCCTAAACAGCCAAGAAAAAATATCTTTGTCATTCGCACCGACTGTAGATCTTGCATCCTCAGAAGTTCCAACGTTTAGCACCCAGCAGAGTGAGGATCGGACTTCAAGGAGGAAGTGGCATCCTACTGAAGACATTGTTCTGATCTCTTCTTGGTTAAACACCAGCAAGGATCCTGTCGTTGGTAATGACCAAAGAGCAGGAGCCTTCTGGAGCCGCATAACAAACTTATTCAACTCGAGTCCACTCTTAGCTGACTATCAAAACAGAACACAAAGTCACTGTAAGCAGCGTTGGGGCCGAATCAATGATCAAACATGTAAGTTTGTAGGGAGCTATGAAGCAGCATTGAAAGAGCAAAGCAGTGGCCAAAACGAAAACGACGTGATGAAGAATGCTCATCAGATCTTCCTCAATGATCACGGGTTTAAGTATGGCCTTGAGCATGCCTGGAGGGAACGGAGGCATGACAAAAAGTGGAGCTCATCCTCGGCTGCAAAAGATGCTGATCAAAAAAACGGAAAAAAGGAGATGCTAACTCATCTAAGCCAGATTCCGCTCAACCTGGTTGTCACGGAGAGGAGACAGCAGAGGTACGACCCCCTGGTGTGAAGTCTGCCAAGAAAGCCAAGGGTAAAAAGGCTGTTCGGGGAGTTGAAGAGGAAATGATAGACTTCACCAACATGTGGGAAATAAAACAACAGGATATAGCACACAAAAAGATGTTCTCCAGGCAGAGAATGCTTGAGCACTTACTCGCAAGAGGAGATAGACTATCAGAGGGTGAAAAAACTTTAAGGGAATCACTCATTAAAGAATTCTTGTCTTAGTCTTAGTGTTTTATGTTTTATATTTCTGTACTATGTCTTAGTCTAAGTGTTTTATGTTTTATATTTGTGAACTAGTATGTTCTATGTCTTAATGGCTGTTTGGTGTAGTTAATGTGAATCGGTTATGTTTATGTCTTGATGGCTGTCTCCTATATATGTTACTAAGAAAAATGGGTCCTATGTGTATTTTGTTTTCTATTGGCGTACAGGTTGTGGTGACAAGTCAGGCGCAAGTTGCTGGAATATGGGTCCTCTATGAGTTGGTGCTAGTGATCTCTAAGCCATATATTATGGAGAGTTGTTTTCTGTCCACAAAATCTTGTAAACCATATAGTACAAGGGCTCGACAGCCATGTATTTTTAGTGATCTTTTGTATCCACAACTTTATGTAATTGTTTTGTATCCACATGTACATTGATATATAGAAACTGCATTTGGTCGTAACATTATTATCACTCGACATTTGTTATAAAAACCTCTACCCAAACTTCCCTCAATCGTTTCTTTCTAAACCCAAACTCTCTCTTACATAGTTTTATGGCTTCTTCTTCTAATAATCCTCATTATAATCCTTATGATGGGGGCAATGATGGTCTATATAATCCTTATGACGGTGTCAATGATGGTTTTGATGAGAGTTTTGATGAAAATTTTGATGACATGTTTGATCAAAAATTTGACAGCGCTTTCAACGCTTTACTTGAGCGACAAGCCGGTTCTAAACCAATGAAGAAGAACAGGGCATATATAGAAAGACAACGAGAACAAGGGCACACCCAATTATGGAACGACTACTTCGCTGAGAACGCTACATATCCTTCCCATATATTTTGGCGTCGGTTTAGAATGAACAAGCCATTGTTCATGCACATTGTGGAATGACTATCAAATGAAGTGCCATATTTTCAGCAAAGGAGAGATGCTGTTGGAAGGCTTACCCTATTTGGATTACAAAAATGTACGGCAGCAATCCGTATTTTGGCGTATGGAAGTGCGGCTGACGCAGTTGATGAATACCTTCGTCTTGGTGAAAGTACGGCAATCAACTGCTTAGAAAAATTCACCGAAGGAATAATATCTCTGTTCGGGGATGAATACCTTAGAAGACCCACACCAGAAGATCTGAAGAAGCTGCTAGACGTTGGAGAGGACCGGGGGTTTCCCGGTATGGTAGGAAGTATTGATTGCATGCACTGGGAATGGAAAAATTGTCCAACAGCTTGGAAAGGGCAATATACACGGGGCTCAGGGAAACCAACAATTGTGTTAGAAGCTGTAGCATCACACGATCTGTGGTTTTGGCATGCTTTTTTTGGACCTCCAGGTACTTTAAATGATATCAATGTTCTTGATCGTTCGCCTGTTTTTGATGACATATTACAAGGCCGAGCTACTAAAGTCAGATACTATGTCAACGGACACTAGTACAAGCTGGCATATTACCTAACCGACGGAATTTATCCAAATTGGGCAACATTTATCAAATCAATTCCACTTCCACAATCTGAAAAGGACAAAACATTTGCGAGATGCCAAGAAGGTGTACGAAAAGATGTCGAACGGGCTTTCGGAGTCTTACAAGCCAGGTTTGCCATTGTTAAAAATCCAGCTCTTATTTGGGATAAAGAGAAAATAGGAAAGATCATGCTATGTATCATATTACACAATATGATAGTTGAAAACGAACGATCATTCGACACCCAATACAATGTATCAGAATTTCAACAGAGAGAAGGAAGCAGAACGTCAGAAGTCGATATGACATATTCAACTTATATGTCCACAAATATTAGCAATATGATCACCGTTTGAAACGAAGTTCGTGACAAAAAAATTCATGACCGATTGAAGGCTGATTTGATTGAACACATATGACTTAAATTTGGAACAAAAACGCCTTATGATTAAACGTCTACTTCTTGTATATTATATGTTTTTAAAACATAATTTGAATAATTTGTAATTTAAATTCTAAACTTATGTAATATAACTTGTTTTACAATGTAAGTTTGTTTTAAAAATATTTTCATAACCAAATCGAAAAAAAAAATTAAATCGAAAAAAAAATACTATTTTAATCGTATAAACCTCGATTACGAATTCAGGGATGGAGGTTAGTTTTTGATTCAAGTTCTTCACTGTTCCAAAAAAAAAATAATAATAAATCAGTTGCTATGATACCCACATTGGGGATCAGCAATGGAGATAGCCTTAGATTATACTATAACCAAATCAAATTATTTATTTCAGTTCGGTTCGGTTTGGTTTTTCTATTATAGTTTTTTTGTCCACCCCTAAGTTTTGATTATGAAATGTCATGAAGGACATAGTGGTGGATTTGGATACGAATGTCTTGGAAGTTGAAAAGAAATCCTTGAAAGTTGAAATCTACTTCACTCCGTTATTTTCTAGTCATGACACAAATTTAACCAGAAAATAGCCTCTTCCTCTTCCTTGCCGTCGTTTTGAAAGTCGAAACTAAATTTAGTGAATGTAGACGAAGGTGTTGAAAGTTGAAACGACTTCACCCCCTTATTTAATAATGGGCTTGCTTGACAAAATTCGACTATCGAAGAAAATGGTTTCTTCCTCTTCCTCTTCCTCTTTGCCTCCGGCGATGGAAGGAGGAGAATATTCTGACTACGAAGACTATTATGGCTACTATGATGGGACTACGAAGACTATTCTGACTACGAAGACTATTATGGCTACTATGATGACGATGAACTGCTTTTTGTTATTGCATCGGATTCGCGGCATGCTCGTAGGTTCAACAGACTTTTGTGTCCTTATGTCATGTGAGCGCTTTTGCAAAGCTTTTGTTTTTCTACAATATCTAAAATTCAAGAAGAGTGTTCAAGTCTATGTGATATGTTTGAACTTCCTTTGTTATAGGTTTATTCAGTTTATTCTGCATCACTAAAGATAGCGAGTTTTATTCTTATTCTGCAGTGAGAATCTTCAAAAAAATTGCTTAATGCTTATTCTGTTTAAATCTCAGACTCAACAAGAAATGCCAAGATCAAAACTAAGATATGTAATCAAACAGTTTTCTCTCAGTAAACAATCATCAAAACTCTAATGGAAACGTTAACCATCTCTTTGATCCTTAGTGCCTCTGGTTCCATTGTAGGGTAGTGAAATGATCCGAGAATCTTTGCGAAAACTAATGAGGTTTTGGAACAAATCCATCAACTGCGAAATTCCTTGTGGCCGAAGGAATAGCCAAGCGCACACCATCTAGCTCTGGTCTTGCAATGACTTGGCATCCCAGTCTTGACCTGAAATACATTTTTCCAGGAACATGTGATACTTTCTCATAAAGCAAATAGATGAAACTTACTTTTCTTTTTTTGTTACGATTTAAGAGTAAGAGGGAGAGAGTTTACGTTTCAGTGAGCCCAAAAGCAAGATCAAGCATATCATTCTCTTCATCTGTTGGTTCTTCAAGTTTGTTATAGTATTCTGTGTCCTGTAAATACAATTTTGAGTTACTTCTATCAGCAAAATCCTGGTTTCAGTGAAAGCAGAGGATGGTCTATTGATAAGAGAGGAAATATGTTTACCATCACGATCACGTGACACGTTGAACACGCTAGAGAAGCCTCACAAGCACCTGGAGATTTAGTAAAAACCAATTAGTGAATTCTTCTTAGTTTTAATACACGGACCAATATTAGAAACATAAGAACTAATTCTTAGTTATGAGAAGAAGCATTGGAAAGAAAGGAGAAGAAAAATGGAAGAGAAGTCTGTGCCTTCGAGGTCTATATCGTTTTCATGAGCAGCTTCGAGCACGGACATTCCAATAGGGACTTTAACAGGAATTTCCTCTCCATCTTTATCAACAAAGATAACTGTTATCCTGAAAAAAAATGACAACATTTCAAAAACTACCAGTCTAAAATGATGCTCGGATGGTGAAGGAATACATTTTCTGTGTCCACATTTCCGTATGCAAGAATCGAGAATTTGCTGAAGATAATTAACCGACAACTTCTAAGCTTACTTTTTAGTTTCTTCATCACCCTTCTCAGAGGAAGTTGTGGAAGAAGTACAAAACTTATGGTTCTTCAAGAACAAGGCTTCCTGATAAGTCCTAGCTTGCCTCTGAACCACTGACTATTGAAAAGAAGAAACAAGAGAGATTCAACATCAATGTGGAAATGAAAACAGTGTCCTATGAATGAAAAAAAAAAACAAAAAAAACAGGTTTGTAGAAATTTCATCCAGGTTATAACCATATATAAACCACCCAGATTCTCAGCTATGAAATCTTAAGCCTTTGCGTAGGCCTTTGAGTTAAAAACCAAACATAGGACTCTTTCTATTGATTCCTGTATCAACTCTCATTCAGCATAGTATTAATACAAGTTGTATATAACTGGACGCACTATAATCGTTACTAGCTGATCAATCTAACATCAAACAAGCGCAAAAAAAGCTGGATCTCGTTCTGCAATAATCATTTCATGACACTCTTGTACTTGAAGACTCATTATTAACAAGCTTCTACCTAGCCAGATAATAGAGTGATCTCTAACAATGAACCCTATTCTATACCAAACAAATAACACAACTATGTCGCAAATCAAATAGAAAATGGAAGTATCGAAAGTAAACGAATATATAGAAAAAATAACGAAAATAAGCTCAGACTAACCGAAGATCGCAAGTAGTGGCCATAAGACCGTTGTAGATTCCTTGTCACATATGTTGATAAATATCCCTCTGCCAAAACAAGAAATGTGAAGAACAACAAAGTGTTAAAACAGCATTTGTGTAGAGTTATACCAAGCAGACAAAGTTTGAGCTATACTGTAATCACCCCAAGAAGAAAATACACGAATAACTCTCGCTAAACCCTGAAGGACTCTAATACGCCGTGTGAAATCGATGTGAGATTAAAAACTTGATCGAAACCAATATAGCAAACGCTTAAAGAGCATAGAGTTTATAGCAGATAATACCTCTTGCGAGCTGTTTAGCAATGGAAGACCCGAATCTTGAGATCCTATGACCGAGCATCGTTCACTGCCGCCAAAGCTTCCTACTTTGAAAATAGCTGAAACCTCGAAAGAATTGAAATTTAACCTAATTTGAGCGCCCAAAAACGAAGCAAACCCAGAATTTAACAAAGCTCAAAATTGTACCAAACGCACCAATCGAACTACCTCGAGACTGGAATTAACGATGCTAGAAAAAAAAGATCAGAACTTGGCCCGCAAAATGAAAAGTTGATAGAATCAAACGCAATTTATCGTGGAGAATAATCGAGGGTTGAAAAAGTTTTTGACTTTCCGAAGATCCCGAATAAGGGAAGAGGTTAGTCTTAGAGCTCAAAGATGAAGAAGAAGGTTAAAAGAGAGGGCTCTGTGTTATATATATAAAGAACAAAGACAACCTCAGAATCTCAAATGTTTTCTGCTTCATCATCTGTCTTCAAATTTTCTCTTACCTTCATGTTCTTTTTTTTCTAATTTTGATATATATTTTGACAATGTCTTAAACCGAACCGGGTCCATCCCTACCACAAATTTGATAATGCGAAGAAACCATTCAGAACAATTTGTCTCTCAATACGATTCTTTGCACAACAAAAGACAAATACAAAGACAAAACAGTCTAAAAAAAGGGAGATAAATCTTATACTAAGAAGACACAAACACCATCAGGAACTTCGGGACAACACTTTTAAGGAGGACGATGATAAAAAAGCTCAAGCAACTTCATCTGAACTCTGATTCTCTCTCTGAAACTGCTCTTCCGCTTTCTTAATAACCTGATCCCAACCACTACCAGAACTCATGTCCAGATAATCATAAGGAACTGCTGTTTTCAAACCAGGAAACACGCTGCGACGGCTCTCAACAATCCCTCCAATTCAATTCATCACATTCTCCATGAACCATCTCCAGTTCTTCC